CAATCTCACTAATACTTGATGTTCCTGATCTTTCTCCTGTCTGTATCTCTTCATTTCCTAGGTCAGAAATGCTCACCTTTCTTGGCCAAAAAAGTAATCCAGCCTTTTCTCCTTTATGAACATAACCACAACAATTATATACTTGGAAGCAAGGTTTTGACCAGCCACAAGGGATGCTCTCAGGCCAGGATGAATGTGAACTTATTAGACAATGGTTTAATGCTGGTCTACATTAGGAAGTGTTCCTGGAGTTTAACATAGCCTACAGATTGGAAATGGGTATGATTAAAACAGTATGGCCACTAACTGACTGTGAGGCATTTGAATTAATAAAATAAATCATTACTGACAAATAAAGGCTAGTTCACCTCTGTTAGATTAGCTCATCAACCCAGTTGCTCCTTGGTGGCCGAGGGTCCAAATCACTAAACATGAATCAAATTGACATCAGTTTCAGAGTCCAAACCAAAGCTGCTCCCTTAACTTTGGATCTGGTCTCTTTGTTGTCGAGTCGATAATTTTATGCATTGTAAAGTAAATTGGATAATACCATGTACCCTAATATTGACTATTAAATATGACACAATTTTCTGCCTACAGTTTTTTTTATCAATATTTTTTATTTTAATATTGTGGGGTAGAGTTAAGGGTTAGGTATACAAATAAGCTTCGTTCAGGCACCCTTGTTGATAAGGGGTGTCTCCCTGTCCCCAGACAGATATTGACTACCATTAATCCCACCTCCCTTCCCCTTCCTCCCCCCTCCATAGTTTCCCACCACTGTCAATCCTTTTCTTATAGTATTACGATAGATGTTCAAGGTCCACTGTATGAGTGAGAACATGTGATACTCAGATCTTTGTTTCTGTGAGAGGTAACTCAATATTATAGACTCTAGTTTCATCCAGATTGCTGCGAAATTCATGATTTTGTTCTTTTTTATGGCTGTGTAGTATTCCATTGAGAACTCAAATCACTCTATAAAAAAGATACCTGCACACGTATGTTTATCGCAGCATTGTTCACAATAGCAAGAACCTGGAACCAACCATGCCTACCATTTTTTTAAAGATTTCCATATTTGAGAAAACCACTGATATTCTCCACATTTATTTCTACTTTTATATCTATGTCAACAACCAGTAATGTGATCAATACTCCCATACAACAATATGAGTGTATGACAAATAAGGAATCCTACTTGCCTTTATATAGATATAGATATAGATATAGATATAGATATAGATATAGATATAGATATAGATATAGATATAGATATAGATATAGATATAGATATAGATATAGATTTATCTTCAATGAAAACAAAATTTCTTATTTGTTATGGACTCAAATCATTGTTGTATAAGAATATTGATCATTTACTTCTTGCTGATTTAGTACAGTGAAGGTTAATCCCTTTTCTTCTGCCAAATTTAATGAAATACTTAATTTTATAGCATTTGTATTGCAAATTGGACAATGAAATCTTTTTTTAAAAACATTATTCTCTGTTATCTGGAAAGGAAAAAATATTGAGAGTCAGTCCTAAAGCAATATGAAGCTTTACAAGGCTGGGCTCAAAGGCTCTATGACTTTTCCTATAAGTAGTGCCTTAAAAATCCTCACATTTAAACACCTAGGGTATTTCCTCTGTGACAGGTACTGTTCAAAGCAATTTGTATGTATAATCTCATTTAATTCTTACATCAAACCTAGGAGGTGATCTATAATTTTTTCTCTACTTCATTATATTGATACAATAAAAAAGAAAAAATCATTGATTATTTCACTAAAGAAAGGCTATTTTATAATAATCAATATCCAATCATCATGAACACTGCAAATAAGAATAGTAGGGGATTGTATTAAACAAACAAGGGATTTTAAAAAACCTTACAATCAAATATCATGCCTACTATCATCACTTTTAGTCACCATTGTATTGAAAGTCTTAGCTACTGTTAAGACAAGGGAATAAAGTAAAATGTCATAGGTCTGGAAAGCAAAATTTAAAAATTCATTATTTACAGACTACATAATGGTCTTAATAAAAAAATGCAAAAGAGCTATCAGATAAAATGTTATAATTACCAAGGTACTGCAACAATATTGCTGAATTTAGAGATAATATACAAACATAAAATATATTTATAATATATCAGCAACAAAAATTAGAAAATGAAGTTGAAGAAAAAGTATGCCAGTTATAATAAGATCAATAAACACAAATACCTTGGAATAATAATATTAAAAAGTGTTATAGTCTTTATACAGTATACCATAAAATATTGTAGGGAAAAACATTTTAAACCTGATTACAGTGATATACCAAGTTTATAGACTGGAAGACCCAATATTTTAAATATGTGAATTTCTCAATCACAGATTAATTGCAAACTCACTAGATGGCTCAAAATTTTTGTGGAAATTGAAAAATTATTCAAATATTTATATTAAAATGCAAAGGGCTAAGAATAGTCAAGCCAATTTGAAAAAGAAGTAAACACTGGAGGGCACTATCTTTAAACATATTTATAAATCTATAATAGTTAAGAAAGTGAGGTGTTGTCACAACATTGGAAAAGTATGAATCCACAGGATGTCCAAAAATTAACTTGCACAAATATACTTTATTTAAGGCAAGTGTAAAACTGTAAATCTTTGGGGGAAATGATCATTTTTAAATATATAATAATGTACCAGTCAGAAAAAGAGATCAAAAGGGAAAAAATAAAAGAACATTGACCCTCCACAACAAAAATCAATTATGAGTAAAAGAGCCTGTGAAATAATACAGCTTCTAGAAGGAAAAAAAGGAGAGTATCTTTCTGACCTTTGTATGAGTAAGGATTTCTTAACCAAGACCAAGCACTAAACCTAAAGGAAACAAAATAATGAAGTGATCATCTCTAAAAGTAAGACCACTAGGACTGCTAAAAATGCAAGAGTGAATCAGAGTAAAAGAAAATACTATGCATAAAACTAACAAGTGACTTCTGTGCATGATATGTAAAGAACTCTTGCAGGACAGACTGACTAAAGAGTTGAAAGGGTACTTCAAAGAGAAGGAGATTCTATTTCCAATAAATTTATGAAAAGGTGCTCAACTCCTTGGGGATAAAAAAATGCAAATTCAAGTAACAATGAGGTATCACTACACACATACTAGAATGGCTAAACTTTGAATGATGGATAACAACACATGGCAGAGAGACTGTAGAGCATCTGGCACTATGACACCATACTGGTGAGAATGTAAATTAGTCAACCACTTTGGAAAACTATTCATGTTTTCTAAAGCTCGATAGACTATCAGCTAAGAATCTCACCTCTATGTATGTGCATCAAAAACACATGTTCATAAGACATTCATAGCAGCAGTATTCTTAATTGTTCAACATTGAAACAAAATAAATCTCCATTAACAGCTTAAAGGATACATTGGTTGAGGAATATAAGGACAACTAAACAGCAATATATATGGCTGAATTATTGCTTCATGCAACAGAATGGATTGATTTCTCATATAAAATTCTCACTGCAAGAAGTCCTAATACAAACCGTATGATTTCATTTTGGTAAGTTTCAAATACAAGGAAAACAAATTTTGAGTTTTAGAAGTCAGGATAGTGGTGATTACTCTTATATGCTTGAGATGTTTAAATTTTTTTATATTTTATGTTTACTTTTTTATAATATTATTTTATGTTTACATTTTTATTTTATTTCACCAGAAGTTTAAATTTTTAATATTATTAATAAATATAATGTTAAAGTTTGTTAATACTAATATATTGATACACAATTTTAATTTTAAATTGATAAGTACAAGTAACCAAATAATTGTATTTAATATTTATTATTAAATTATTATTTTAAATATAAAAATATAATCCCAATTTAATAAATATTGAATAAACTTTAATTTCCATTAACATATAACAAAAATAAAATATATTTAATATTAATGGTAGTGTTATTTTAGTTGCAGAAAGTATTTCAGCAGCTTGAAAGAAAATTCTGGAATAAAAATTGTTGCAATAGCAATATTTTTTATGATATGTGAACCATCGATACTCTGAGTAAAATAGAACTTCAGAAGAATGAAGAATATTTTTTAAACTGAACTATTGAAAAAATCTATTTTGCTTATTTGCAAAATGCTCAGTAACCCTATGGTGATAAAGATTAAAAAATGCATGTTGAAAAAATTCTAAAAAGTACTATGTCAACAATGCAAAAAGAAATATTCTAAGAGTAAAGAAAATAAACAAAAGGAATTTATCCTATAAATAAATGGTCAAACAAACATCCTTAGGATAAATGTTCATCACAACCTTAATTAGAAAATGGAAATTCTCAAGGAAACTAAATGTTTCATTGTACTGAAATAATGACATATTACAGTAGGATATATACATACAAAGCAGTAATTTTAAAATGTCATAAAAAAGACATGATAATATAGCAGCTTATATAATACTATACAGCAATATGTATGTATGTTTTACACACACATACATACAAAAACAACTTAGTGAAAGAGATGCATAGGAAATTTCTGAAAGGAAACTCAGCCAAAATGTTGTTTTAGGAAATGATACTGAAATAATGTGACTTTTTTCTATTTTCCAAATTATTTGTATTACAGGTCTCTAAAAAACACACACATAATTTAGAATAAAAATTACAGCCCCAAATAATGAATACTTTGAATCAGTCTTCGAAATGAAGATAGACTAATATCCCTGACAAAAAGTTCAGCAAATTAACTGTTGCTGATTTCAAAATGTCAGAATCAATGTCAACCCATTCAGACTTCGATACTGCAAGGTTTTTAAAAACGCATGTATACATACATATACATATTTATATGTTTCGTTCAGCTATTATTTGCCTTAATATCAATACTGTGGCTTGTTATTTACTTTGTCAAAAGTATCTTTTCATCACTGTGCAATGTAAAGCAAATAAGAAATAAGTAAACAATGTTTGCATACCTTCAGTCTTCTTCCAGTAGACTTTGACTTGCAGTTGGTTGTCCTGATAGAACGGAGCTCCAATTTCCAGCGGGCGAGTGGGCCGCCTTTTTTGAAAAGGGGGCTGTATTTGAATCCCACCTTTTCTAGTTTTCCCAAGCTGTTCTTCTACAACAAAGCACAATATTCTAATTTATTAATTAAAAATAATTATTGGCTGGGCATGGTGGTTCTCAACTGTAATCCCAACACTTTGGGAGGCCAAGGCAAAAGGATCACTGGAACCCAGGAATTTGAGAACAACCTGGGCAACATAGCAGGATCTTGTCTCTACAGAAAAAATTAGCTGGCGTAGTGGCACGTGCCAGTAGTCCCAGTTACTTGGGAGGCTAAGTTTCGAGGATCAGTTGAATGCAGGAGGTCAAGGCTGCAGTGAGCCAGGATTTCACCACTGCCCTCTATCCTGGGTTACAAATTGAGCCCTTTTCTCAATAATAATAATAATACCTGATATTATTTCCAGTGTACTTTAATTTTCTTTGTTATTTATTCATATTCAGTGCCTGTTTTTCAAAATAAAAGGTGATGTAACTACATATTCTTTCATACTCAAGGTAATGACCATCCCCTTCAAAATGTGTTAGAATACTAAACGTATATTACATGTAATTCCCAGAATTTAAATTGGTAATCAATATGTATTCACCATGCTTGAAAGATGCTCCAACTTAAGTAATAAGTATAAATAATATTTCTCATTATAGATTTTTTGTAGTTATGAGGGAAACAAGCAAAATATTAAAATACAGCCGGGCTCGATGGCTCAGCCTGTAATCCCGCGCCTTTGGGAGGCTGAAGTGAGTGGATTGCCTGAGCCCGCGGGTTCGAGACCCGCCTGGGCAGCGAGACCTCATCTCTACAATAAATCAAAAAATCAGCCGGGTGTGGTAGCGTATGCCTGTAATTCCGGCTACTCAGAAGGCTGAGGCGGAAGGATCGCCGGAGCCCAGCAGGTCGAGGCTGCGGTGGCCGGGAGCGGCCACTGCACTCCAGTCTGGGCGACAGAGCGAGACTCCAACTAAAAAAAAAAAAAAATTAAAATACCATTTCATGAAAACAATAGATAGCTTTTCACAGAAGTATAGGCATTATACATCAATATTTGGTACAAGGCCCTAAACAGAAATATGGTCCAACTTTATCAAATTAATAGTAAAGAGCAAATTGCATCAACCCAGTTGATAATCTCAACTTCAGTCATAGCACTCAGCAACCAATCCTGTGCCATTCAGGTTAGTGACGAATTCCAAACTTGGACAGATATTAAAGTGAAATCTTAAATATCTAACAAATGAAATGAAATGCAATGGCAACAGTACATTAGATTAGGCAATGGAATATAAGAAACATTCATTCGTTAGTTCTTTCTGTAAACATTTATGAAAGCAATTGCTAAGAGCCTGGCACTGATCTAAGAGCTGGAAATACAAAGCTTTTGTACCTGAGGGGCTTTTATTACTAGCAGCAGAAGATCCCTCTGCAATAATGACAGCGTACAATGAGAGGGCTGAGCTGAAGACACTTGCCCAAAGGAAGGGTGTAAGTCTGACAAGTCATTGTTTCAGTTTTTCTTTTTTGTTTTTTGTTGTTGTTGTTGTTGTTTTTCTTTTAGTGACCAAAAGCTTTTGGATGAAACAAATCATAGAACTACAGTTGTTGTAATGGGAGATGGTATTTTATCAATAAGCCAAGACACTTTAGAAAAAACCAGGTAAGAATATGTTCACTTGTTCATTATTGGTTGTTGCTTTTTTAACATGAATCTCCTTTTCCTACTGTCCATTTTAAAATGTAATCAACACATACTCGTTGCAAAGCTAAAGCAATATAAGAGGGATCCCAAGTCCCAAATATCCCATACACAATGGGAGACAGATATAGAGATATGCTGCTATAAAGCAAAACATCATGAAATAGTTCTTTGAATCAGGCTATTCAAACTTTCATCCTTAAGCTAGGTCATTTCTTATTGTGTTGCTGTTTAGAATCATGATCTGGCTCTAGTTTCAGTTTGCTTTTTTTCTGTTTTTATTTAGCTGTATCTTTCCTTCTTGTATCACTTCTCATTTTTAAAATCTTCTGGGCTTCTTTGTATCCATACTTCTGATTACTTTAGCTCAGAATGTACTGGCACTACTTGTTTCTGTCTGGTTCAATCCTCTTTGTCCTTGAAAGTTTCCCATAAGCTCTCCCTGGTGAATTTCCCCAGGCAAACTGGAACATGCTACTCTTCAGTGCTCTTATATTTTTTGTTTTAAATAATTTTTTTCTTTACTGTGTTCCTCCAACCCAACCTAGAACTCATCTGGAAAAAAAACCTTAGCCTAATCTTCCTTGGATGTCTACTGCCTAGCTCAGAAACACCCATAGTGATTACTTCATATGTATTACACATTGATGGCTCTTTATACCAAATATATTATCAGATATGTATTTGCCTGCAGCTGTGTAAGGTGCTATATTTATGTCAACAGAGTGGTCCTTTGACATAGGATTCAAACATGTTTCTCTGGGGTACATTCTCCTTTGTTGCAGGGAGGGCAATAAACGTAACATTTTGACTCCAGGTGTGTTTCTGATGGGCTTTGCTTTGGTTGGTTGGCTTTGACACTATTTAATGTATATTCATACCAGTATTCTACGAAATAAAGCATGGGTCAGTAAACTTTTCACAAGGGGCTGGATAGTAAATATTTTAGGTTTTTGGAGTCTTTCTCCCAACTATCCAATTACAGATGTAGCCTGAAAGCAGCCAGAAACAGATATGTAAACAAATACGGCTGTGTGCCAACAAAATCTTTTTTACAAAATCAGGCAATGGCTGGATTTTGCCTGTAAGTCATAGTTTGCAGACCCTAGAGAGAGAGGAATTAGCATACACTAAAGACAGAAAAGATTAACACTCAAAAATAGTAAGACTAAAGGGCCCAGTTTAGTGGCTCATGCCTGTAATCCCAACATTTTGGGAGGCTGAGGCAGAAGGATTGCTTGAACGCAGGAGTTTGAGACCAGCCTTGTCTCTACAAAGAATAAAGTAATTAGCCAGGCGTGGTGGCATGTGCCTGTCATCCCAGCTACTCTGGAGGTTGAAGATCACCTGAGTCCAGGAGGTCAAGGTTGTGGTAAGATCATGCCACTGTATTCCAATCTGGGTGACAGAATGTGATCCTGACTCAAATAAATAAATAAATAAAATACTAAGAATCAGGTTCAGTTTCACACAATGGAAACAGGTAAGCTGAAATTTAACCCCAGGGCCATCTCATGTCAAATTTATGTTTCTATTACCATTTAATGGGTCTTTATGGAGAACAAACTTATATAGTTTCATAATTAGGACATAAGAAAATTCCCCCAGTCTCAAATATCTCTTTCACCTACTCCCTGAATTTAGATGTTGCATACATAGAAATTCTGCCCTTTGATGCAAGACTTTTCTGTTTTCTGAATTTCAAATAGCTCTTTGAGAGATAACAGGATAAGTTGTACTGATTATATACTAATAAATAACATGTCATCAAACTTTTCTTTAAAAAGTGGTATGGTTTACATTCTTGGGCAGGTACGAGGAAGACAGAAATATGAGATGGGGAGAATACTCTCAATCTTGAAATAAGGCATAATTGGTCAAAAAATCCTGGGAGCCCCAGAAGAAAATTTGTATCAACTGTCAATTTTTCCTTACACTGGTATACTCACTAAATCACATATTCAATAGGTCTGCTTAAAAGAGAATAGATATTGATACTAGTCAGTTTCACATTTAGAATATTTTAGTTTAAAGAGCTCAAATCAATGTTTGGATAACTGAGAAACATAAATTAGGCTACTACTTTTGGAGAGCCTAATAGCACAGGAAGCTTAGGACCCAGGGGAGGAGGCAAGAACCAGACATGGAAAACCCATAGGGTTCCTGGCCAAAACTCATTACTTTCTTGACACCACCATGGAGTTAAAGAGTCTTCCTGGTTACACTCAAAGTCTTTATTACATAACTAAAGATCTAAGATTTTCACAAGCCCATTTGTGCTTCTAATAACCTGTGATATTGAGAAATCACCAGAGGACAACCAAGATAGAAGTTTAAATACTATGCTTAACCTCAATGTAAATCTTGTCTTCCTACTTGATTTTATATCCTACACAAACTTTAATCTTTAATTATAGATGTGAGAACATATTTTTATATATCTCAAGATTGAATCATCATTGCTTTACTGAAATGATTCAACAGCAGAAATCCACCAACAAGTAGTGTTACTGACACGTCTTGGGTAAAGAACAGATAAGGTACATACTTCAGTGCTTGAACTATGTCCCTGACATTATGAGAACATCTCCTCCACCTTCAGTAGTAAACAAAAAAATGGAGGAAAATCATATCTACCATATTCTAAAAAGGTATGAAGTCTGATTTATATTCTTTGATAGTCATAAAAGAGAATCAAATATGTACACTTTTTTTAAAATGTCCAAATTTTGATTAATTTTACAGATCAAAAGATTCAGAATATTTTCTTTCTACTCTATTCTTATTCTGGAGAGCCAGAAAAATGTTGCAGTTCCATGAAGCAACTATAAAACATTTGGAACCTGTCAAACTTGAAAATATTCCCCAACCTCCAAAAAAACAAGCTACATTTCCATTAAAGACAGTGTTACATCTTACTTCCTTCAAGGGACCCTTTCATAAAACTGCAAACATTCAGCCTTTGCTTGCATAGAAATATTTATTATTAAAACACCTAGTAGCCTGCAGACCTGGAAAAATATAATTCAAAAAGTAATTTATATGCTGACATTTACTACTTTCCTTTCTATAAAATATAATTTCCCTTGCTTATACTATAAAGTTGTAATTATTCTTTACTTCTAGTTGGTTCATGATGAAATATATAGCGTTCTTATAAAAGTCATATACTAGCATTTATGCGATTATATATCAACATTGGGATATAAAATCCTGACAAACATTCAGCTATATCCTACATAATCCATTGTAAAGTCAGTTTCTTCTGCAGAGTATCCTGAGACCCAAACAATATGTGTTACCTCAGGTACTTTGCACTATGACTTTCTCTCTTTCTCTCTCTCTCTCTCTCTCTCTC